TTACGTTTATTTAAAAATTAATAAACATAAAATTCAAATAAAATACTAATTAATCTAATATTCAATCACTAAAATATATATATTTTTAACATATGATAGTTGCTGGCGGTGATGGCTAACGGTAGTGCTTGTAAATGTCGACTAAAACCGGCGATCGGTGGTAGATTTGGTTGATAGTGGTAGTTTAGGGTAATAGCTAGTGGTGATTAGTAGTGGTAGCTATTATGATTGAGGATGGTGGCGGTGGGTAGTGATAGTTAATAATGGCGGGTGGTGGTGGTAGTAGTTGTGATTGAGGAAGATGGTGGTAGGTGGTGGTAGTTTATAATGATGGGTAGTGCCAACTATTGTTGTTGATGGTGATAGGGTGGTTAGTTGTGGTAGTTGAGGTGGATGAGTGTTGGTTGTCGTTGATAATGATGGTGGTGGGAATGGTGGGTGGTGATAGTCGACAATGGTGGCAGCTATGATTAAAGATGATGGTGGTGGTGGTTAAGTATGGTTGTGCTAGGTGGCATGGTGGTAGTTGATAATGGTAGGCGGTGGCGACAGTTAATAATAAATATGGAAGATAGCATCTTAATGAAATTAAGTATCTGTTATAGATCTTAATGATACAGACATATTCATATCCATTAAGTGGTTGTGAAATAAAAAAAAAATAAACACACTTAACGATTAAGATCTAAATAATTAATATTCAGACTTTAAAAATAAATGCACTTAATGTCCGAGATCTGAATAATTTAGATTTAGATTTTCATTAAGCGCAAACAAATGAGGCGTTAGAGAATATCGAAAGCCAACACTCAAGGCCTAATATTTTCCAACCCCAATCCCTCCGTAAAACCCAATCTCCGACGAGTCTTCTCCTTTGGACACACCTTAATCGAGCGTGCTTCTAGGTCTGTTGAGGTAAGCTCTATCAGAGAAATTTATTTTCTTTCCTTTGTGTATAGGCTTTAGATGAGAAACTTCAAAGAGTATTGTCAAATTTCTTTAAGTTTGTTGCTTTTGGTTCTGCTTCTAAATTATTATGCTGAAGGCAAAATAACATCTCTCAACACTATAATGTGTTCCCTAAGATTGGGAATTTGGTCATATCAATAATTAAGATATAAGCAACTGAATATTGATGGTTGATGGTTGATGGTTGGACCCTTCTTATAATTTCATGATATGCTTTTGATTCAGTTCTCACCTTGAATCTAAAGTTGACCACCTTCAGAAATCTATAGGAAACTAGTATAGGTACGTATTTTTCAAAAACATCTATCATAGCACAAAGAAAATTGTACAGAGAAAATTCCATCTTTAACGAAGTAAATATTTGGTTGTTATGTTTGTTCCGTAAGTACGACACTGCACCGGTATATTAATGCTATCTTTGTCCTGAAACCTTAAGAAGATTTTTGAATTATTGCTGAAATTTTAGATGGTTTAGGAACTTTTGTTATCAAACATTTTGATTTCGTTTGTAATATATGATAATTTGTATGTAGATAAACTTGCTAATCGTGCATTTTTGGGACAAAGTTATTCTCGAGGATCCAATCGAGAGGTACTTATTCCAGAATCAACTCTTGACTTCAATTGCTAGTATACTACTTCAATTCATCCTATAATATTTCTGTTTGCTGATGCATGAGTTTAATTCTTAAAGAACAATTTGTCTTTCTTATCTTATACATCTGATAATTCCTAGCTACTTTCACTGTTTAGGATGTTGGAATAATGGATGCGTTAAATCTATATATTTTAAATTGTAAGTTGTCCTTTGCTTTTCTTCTTATTTTGTTTGATGTTTTTCCTATTTGTTCTCTCTTTGACTGGAAAAAATAAGATTTTAGAGTTTGACACTAAGTCTGATTTACAAATTGTAGTGAAATATTACTTACCGGGCATAGAAATAAGTGGTGATGTTAGTTAGTAAGGCCTTGACTATAAATATTACTTACCGGGCACGAATTACTGTATACTTCGGAGAGTATTTGGCTTATTTGTTGCTATTGAAGTTACTGGATTTCTAATCTTCTTATTAAATTGTTATTCCGCTCTCCAACTAGTTAATTTCGTGAATGACGCATTATGATTCCTTTACGTGTTAGGTGGTGTTAGAATAGATTAGTCCTCCTGTTTATTTTCTTTTACTCTATTTGCGCATTCTGAATATTATTGGCCATACCAAGTGCCATGCGGCACTATATTGAAATTATGCCAACATAATGACCAGGTACGTCTCTTATGAATCCTTCCTGAAGGACTTCGAATAATATCTCTATATGCATGATATTTAGTGTTTGAACATATTTGGACACATGTCACCTAGATGCCATGTCGTTAGGACTTTAATCTCTTAGATATTATGTCGTAAGGGATAATAAGCATATTCTTATGTATCTGCATTCATTATGCTTTACTTTTTTTGGCTTATTCGACTGAGAATGAGTTGAACACTTAGCATATCACACATCTAGAATAATTCAATCTGCAATACTTGAAGCATGCTATATCTGTCCTCTGTCTAGTTGGGATAATTAAGAAACTAATGTGAATGTTAGAAACCACTAGGAAATGGGCTATAACCTGTTATATTCAAATCAGTTTTTTTTTTGTGTTTTAATTAGTTCAAATGCATGTTTGGATTTATTTTTCATACCATTTGGTCTGGTTTAATTGTCTGAACATAGAAAACAATAGGGATACTGCCTTTAGGAACTTATGGTAAGAAAAGTCGACAACCTGTTGATGTTAATGGCTATCCAGTTGCATTTCTCTAACAGGTTCTTTATATGACTAAACTGCAAAAAATAAGATTTTATAGTTTGACACTAAGTCTGATGTAAACAATTTAGTGAAATATTACTTACCGGGCACAGAAATAAGTGGTGATATTATTTAGTAAGGCCTTGACTATGGAGATTTACTCGTGTAAATATTTACTTCTTTTTCAATTTATAGCCTCTTAGCTGCGTGGCCTCTTTTTCTTATTTTTCATGATTTAAGTTACTTTGCAGAATGATCTGGAAAATTAATTTTAATTGTAAAGAAGTTCACTATATAGTTTTGGATTCGAGTTTTTTTGAAGTATACCAAGTTTCCTCTGTTAGGCAGCTCATTTGAGCTACTTCATTCAATAGTATCATATATAGAAGCTTTAGAAGTAGAGATCACAGAGATTACCTGTATTATTTTAACTAGATGTGATCAAGCTGTCCGTCGCTTGCTTATCTGGCAAAACTAAGAATATTACTAGTAAAAAATAACCAACTTTCCTCTGCTAGGAAGCTAATTTGCGCTGCGTCATTTAGTACCAATGTTCCATCATATATAGAAGCTTTAGAAGTAGAGATAATGGAGTATTACCTGTATCATTTTCACTAAATGGGATCAAAATATCAAATTGTCCGACACTTGCTTATCAGGCAAAACTAAGATTAGAACCAGGTCAATGGCTGTTGTTCATAGTACAGAACTTCTGAATTTCATAAGGAGGTTCAACTTCGGAATACATGTTGCTAGTTATAAGTGAAACTGGATCATTGTTGCCTTTTCTTTTCCTGGATATCAGAATCATATATTGCTGATCATCTTAACATGCTTCTGCTGATCATAATATTCAAGTATTTGTATTACTTTTTATGGTACACACTGATAAGGTTGTGGCACATGTCATTTACTTAAAAATTGTTACATCCTATATTTTTGTACGTAAAAATGCGTCGTAAGCAAACTAATGTAGGACCAAAAA